ATTCTGTCCTGCTGGAGTGTGACATGATTTGTTTGTGTACAAACTAATACACTATCAGAGTTTTATATACTTTTCATTCAACCACAATTAAATTCACTCTTATCTAGAAGGCACAATTTTTATGGATAGTATTTATTTTTTACAATAAATAGCTGGAATGAAAAGCAAAAATGAAATAAAAGGAACGACTTTCTACTTTTTGCCTTTTTAAAAAATCTAAGAAGTAGAAAGTACAGGTAATTGTGTGAAAATGTAAGAAGTAGAAGTAAAAAGTAGTCTGAAAAATAGTTACTCAAGTACAGATATCCAAAAATTCTACTTAAGTACAGTAAAGAAGTATTTGTACTTAGTTACTTTACAACTCTGTTTTTAAGTGATTCATTTCTATTTGTGTGTTTGTTTTCATACAGATACATTTATAAAATACTCCATTTAAAAAAAGGATCAACTGTAGTAGAAAAGAGTGATATACTTTATCAGAGGATAAAGGGAGACCGGAAAACCTGACTTGTATTTTTGTGTCTTTCATACCAATAAACCCACAAAAAAAGAAAGAAAATAACACAAAACCTCCTTAGAGAAGCATTCTGCAATCATCAGAGGTGATTAACAGAAGGCCGAAGCCACAAGACAAGTGAAGTTTTAATCTTTTGAGTTGATTAGAAACAGTCAGAACTCAAGAACTTTCTGAGATTAGAACCTGTCCTTTGTAGCGGTAACAACAAAAATGTAGTTATCAGTATTTAATTTCTTTATCACTCACAAACAAAACTTTTTTTTGTAAAACCGGTTCAAAATTTTTTTTTGTTTCAGTTGGTTTTAAATAATTGTAAAACCATCATTCTTTGTAGAAATGTAGCTCTCAGACTGCGTTATCTCTGAGCTAAAACACCTAATGTTCTCTCAGTATTTCTAAAAATGAATTAGTTTGTGTTTAATAAGGTGAGCTGGCAGCCATCTTACATCTGGTCGACTCCAAAAGACACACAAATAGATAATTACACGACCGCTGCCTCTCACTGGTGATAACCTACAAGGAGAACACTTTCCTTTAGCGCCATCTTCCAGCACACACACTGATGATTGCACTTACTTTTTTTTTTTGATGATTGCACTTTCAACATCAATTTACCTCCGTTCTAATAAAGCAAATGGCAACACAAAATGACAACACAAACACAAAATGACAACACAAACAAACTGAGTAAACTTCAGTTTAGTGTTTGATGATGTGTCCCAATATTAACGCTCGGCCTCTCTGTGTGTTTGATGTTGACGTGAAGGAAAGAGGCGCAGCACGTTTACAGACGAGTGTGGGAGAGCGGGACGTGCACGGTGTATCCAAAACGTACGCTGCAAATAATTTGACGTGTAATTTACTTTTAATCTGAGTTATAAAAGCGCATTAAGATACGGCAACAGATCTGTGGCACATTTAGTGAGGATGTTTGAACTGATTTAATTTGAGTTGCTTATCTAGCTTCAGTGATTTTGGAGTTTAAAAGGGTTATTTTCTTATTTGAATGACATTAATCCAGCTACATTCAGCTTAATAAAAAGTAAGGAGCAGAAGGTATGTGCGAGCTGAGARCAAAACCCCTCTGAAAAGAAAAGAATGAATCAGAGTCATGCATTTTAAGAGAACAATCACCGTGATCTTTATGTCACTTTTACTTCATAAATGTTCTCTTTCTTCTTCTTTTACAGGTCTTGACCAGCATTTAGTGGCTGTATATTTCCAGTGCAGACTGTTGTGAACCCCTCCCTGGCAGAAAGCTGCCATTCTAATCTGGATGATGGAGAAGTTGTGTGTCACCTTAAAGAAACTATCACGATAGAGCCAACATTCATCTCAGCCGGGACACAAACAAACTTCTCTGTTGTTCCAAATACTCTACTCAGTCAGCGCTACGTGATTTAGCCGTTTCTCTTCATTTCATGTAGATTTTCTACTCTGTGTGTATTTTACACGAGTTTCCCTATTTGAATTCTCAGAAGAGAAGATGTCGGTAAGGTGCAGCGCCCCTCTTTTCTTTACGGACCTAAACCCCCCACGCTGAAGTTGATGGACGTTGGAAGCTGCGGCTCAGTCCTCGTGATGGAATCTGAAGGAGGCACGAGAGGATTGTCCACGGCCGCCATGGTGGCCGTCGCCTGCAACACGTTTGTCGCCATCCTGCTCCTCCTGCTCTGTCTGGTTGTGTACCGAGCCTGCAGGGTCCCTTCCAGCCCCGAGAGGCTGCCCGTGTTGGCGCCGAGCGAGGCCGAAAGCCAGCAGGCGAACGAGCACAAGTACCTGTTGACCTCCTGACTGCAGAGCGACGAGTCAAAACGTAGCGACGAGGGATGGATTTCTTGTGCCCCTCTACGGGATTCGAGGCAGCACGGGAACTGACTGCAAAGACGATCGAGGATCGCCGTTATCTGCTTTTTAAAGTCAGCCGTGGAGCTGCTGACAGACGAGGCTGAATTGTTGTGGTGGGGTGGAAACTATTTTTTAAGCAGCCGTCGCTTGTCAAAATCAGCCCTCAGAATGACAAAAGCTGCTGGAGGATGAGACTAACAAACACAAGTGGCTTCAAGAGCTGCAACAGACACGGCCGCAAGGATGGATGCAGGTTATATAGAGGCAGACAGAAAGGACAGCTGTTGTTCAAAATTTCTAAATATAACCTCTAACGTCATCGGGTGGCTTCGATAAACAAGCAAACAAAATAATCTAATGCTGAGTGTTTCACTGTCGCGTATTAATATCAGCAAAGCGTGAGGCCTAGCMCCTTGCAGCGAGCGTTTCATGAGGACTGAAGAGGTTTATCTGAAACGTGCCTCGTGTTTGATGTGACACTCTCGCTGACATGAGGCTGCTGGTGATGGGCAGCTACTTCTGGAATGAATCACACACAGAGGAAATATTTCCTGCGAGACCCTAAGCTTCCTGCATCTCAGCCACACGTTTCTGTATTTGATCAGTAACATTGGTGACGCCACTTCAGACCAACAAGGCATTACTTTAAYGACAGTAGCAGCATTTATGTATATATAAAAACTACCATCTTTTACACATTGATCTGATGTTAGAGTTGCACTGGTTAAGGACACAAAAGTGCTTTAGGAAACAATATTACAGTGAATGTATTATCTGTTATTAATGTAGCTACAATAATCCACATAAGTGCATAATAAAAACATGTCGGTGTGTGAGGAATGTATCCTCTCATTTCTACATTCCCTGATTTCACTCTTGAAGTTGAGCTCTGAGACATGAGAGATACAATTAAGAAAGGAATTGTAATAATAA